AGCAATGATGCTTTTCCTCAGAGTCTGTAGGCCCTGGAGATCTTTCACAGGTGGATGCCACAGTATTTTGGAGAGGCTGCCTTTCTGCACTGATCTCATATGCTGCTTCCTGGGGATCTAGTTTTTATCCATTCCAGCTCTACTTATAACACACTGCTGCTCTTTGAGGACGTAGTCAGAGTTGGCTGTCGCATAATTTTTCTTCCAACAATATGAAGTCTATGGCATGGAGACTGGCTGGCTCTCCTGAAGTGTGATGAGGAGCACACACTCCTTGCCCTTGCCTTACACTCACAAGCTAAGCCTTCACCAGGTACAGTGACTTTAGCTGGTTTAGTTTAGAAGAAGGAGTGTATGCAAGCCTAATTTTGCTAGCTATTTCTTCAGCCTCTGTGGCTTTCCTCTTTCCTCTTTGCCTTCTGAACCTCATAATGAAAAAAAAGCAGGGCAGCACCATAGGCTGATATAGAGTACAAGTGACCAGCGTTTTGATCAATGACCACTGAACCATAAGCAAAGACAAACAAGTGAGTCCTGATAGTGCTTCAGCCTTTAGGCTGCTGTCACAGCCTTTGAACTTTTGCAGATGCCCTAGAGTTATGGGCAGAAGTATTTTAATGGCCAAGCCCTTGCAGAACCGTTCTGTAAAGCTCCATTCACAGGGCCATGAGAAGACAAAAATAATACTGGTTCAACTAACTTGATAGCCAACAAAAAGTATTCATTGTTTTCTTTATCATCAAAACAAGAAACTCATGGTTGACTCATTCCCAATGCAGGCTGTGGGATGAATCAAATTTGGTCTTCCACACGCTATTGGAATGCTACATCTGCTACACTATTGAGATGGAAGTGTGAGGAAAGGACAGCTCCTCTTCTGGCAATATTGCCATCTTTTTATATAAATTGGAAGTTGCAGAAACTCTGGGGTTACCGAAAATAGAACAGAATTTTGGCTGAATAGATTAAACTAAAAGTACAACCTACAGGTTGTACATTGGCTTTGTGAAAGACGAAGGGTTAACATAGACATCATAAGCAAAAAAAAAAACTCTCATTTGAAACCCAGTCCTGTATTGAAAGACTGATTAGAGCCTAAGATCACAACCTACTGTAACAAAAAAGGAAATTGATTATCTCAAGAATTTTTCTACATAGATGAATTCATATTGATCTCACTTCTGCTGCTCAAGACATATAAGGATACAACATCAATAATTAAGAATCAACACAAACAAAACATCATAAACAGGCTCTGCTTCAGAGTTGACACTGTTCACTTTTAACTTCTGAATTTCCTGTTGCAGGGAGATTCAGGTGGCCCTCTGACATTTGAAGATGGTAACAAGTGGTTTTTAGTTGGTGTAACATCATTTGGCTATGAGTGTGCACTTCCCAAACGACCAGGAGTGTATGTTCGAGTCACCATGTTTGTGGACTGGATAAAAAAAATCATCTATTAGGTCGATATTTTTTAATGATAGAAACATAATTTAAAGGTTGAAAATAAGCCATTGTATAATGATGTAAACTACACTGGGATTCCAATCTCACAAGTGGAGAAACTGAGTAAATATTTAAATATTGGGAAGGAAAATAGTAATGATTTAAAACTCCATTAACAATTGAGAGTAATATTTCAAAACAGATGTTGTGGTTTTGTTAATAATTAGTTTTATCATTTACTTTTATGTGAGACCATAGAGAAACAGTTTCTCTGAACAACAGTGCATTAAATGCATAGTGGAGGGCTTTACAGAGCATAGGCAGTTAAAAAAAAAGTTTGCAAACTGCAAATGCTTTATTGAAAAATGGTCTAAATTATTCATTTTCAGCCAAACATTACCTGTTTATATGTTTTTACACTGTATTTTTTAACATGCATTTTCATTTTGATGCATAGTCAACCTTTCTCAATAATCTCACCATATATATATATAAAAAGGTATATTTTGTCTTCTTAAACTGGGCTCATGGGAGTTCTTCTGTCTTGTCTATTAGAAAAAGGTCTGGAATGATGTTTATGGACTGTACAAAAAGGCTGATCGTGTATCATGCTGCTTTCTAATGAATAAACTGAATGTAAGCCAAAAGTTCTCTCTTGTGCAATTCATTTGGAATTAATAGAGTTAAATACAAATTGAAAAGAGCTGCTTAGTTTTCTTTCAAGGTAAATATTTTGTCAATTATTCAAGAAATTATAGATATGTGCTTGTGTATGCCTGAGCACAGACTTACAATACTGCAACTTCTTCTCATTGAAAGTAATGTTTTTTAAAAATATCTGACAATAGTATCAACTGTTCCTCAAGAATAGGTTAATAGGGTAAAGTAATAGGGTTCCTTTGATATATTCTGTGCTTTTTCTGTACTGGTGACTTTTAATACTGATTTTGTGCTTTGTATAAGAACTATCACAGCAGTCCATGACAGCATTCTAAAGAGAAAAGAATATGAAGAAAAAAATGGTGGTTTTATCTTGAGCTCTTTTCTAAATAGGTTAATTAAAATATAATTATCTACTTGTTAAAATGTCTTAAATTCAAAGGTGTTTTAATGATAGTGTAATTTCATACAATTCATTTATTTCCATTTTCAGCCTAGTGTAGGAATTTAATATATTTTTAATTCCAAAGTACTGCATGAAAATATGTATTCAAACTTACTGTGTATGTGTATGCACATAGAACCATAGAATGGTTTAGGTTGGAAGGGATCTTAAAGATCGCCTAATGGCAGGGACACCTCCCACTAGAACAGGTTGCCCAAAGCCTTGTCCAACCTGGCCTTGAACACTTCCAGGAAGGGAGCATCCACAGCTTCCCTGGGCAGCCTGTGCCAGTGTCTCACCACCCTCACAGTAAAGAATTTCTTCCTAATATGTAGTCTAAATCTACCCTCTTCCAGTTTAAAACCATAAGCCCTCATTCTATCACTACCTGCCCTTATAAAAAGTCCCTACCCAACTTTTCTATAGGACTCCTTCAAGAACTGGAAGGCCACAATAAAGTGCCCCCCACTCTCTCAGTCAGTCCTCATAGGGAAGGTTCTCCAGCCCTCTGATCACCTTCATGGCCCTCCTCTGGACCCGCTCCAACAGCTCAATGTCCTTCTTATATTGGGGGCTCCAGAACTGGATGCAGTACTCCAGGTGGCACATAGATGTAAGATTTTTTAAGAAGCTCCCATAGTTGGTGCTTATAATACTAAATGCAGAGATGAAGTCCTCAAAAAAAGGCTAGATTACAAACAGAGGTTGGCAGTCACGGACAAAAAATATCAAGTCCCAAACTGTTTTCTGGTCTTCATAAGCATTAGAGGACTAGGTCCAGAAAAAAATATTTAGTTTCTTCAATGCATCTGTGACCACAAGGAACACAGACTGATGTAATTAAGCTGTAGGGAAGATAAAATGTAGTTTAGACACCTTATTTCCTATAAACCACACAGTTTTTAAGATTAAAATGTTCAAGTCGCAAATCCTATCTTTTGTAGTAGACTGCTGTTTCTCTTGTTAACCTCCTTCACTTGAAAACAGCCACTGAAAATAAAGTGCAGTCTGCTATCAGTATAAATTGATTTGGACGAAGCAATTACTTTAAAATGCTTAATTAAAATGTGATATTATTTCTACATTATTTACTATACATCACTATTGGAAGTGGTGTTTCTCTTAATGAAATACAAAAGCCAACTCAAAGCAGATCCAGTTACTAGAAAATGTGCTTCCCAGAAATACAGTATTATATACTTTCTATTTATGTGTACTTTTTGCTTCCCAAAATGCAAAGCATAGATGTATTTTGAGGTATACATTAATAAAACACCCCCTTAGACTAAAAAATTTCCTATTATAAACTCGTGTATAGAAACATATATGTAATATAAACTAGTATAATTAAACATTTTATTTCAACTAATTTATGTCTAGATAAAACTAACATAACCTTAGTTCACCACATTCTAGCCTTCATTCAGCATCAATTACCTCATTTGCCTGCATATTAACCTGTGGAGTAAACAGTCGTTACTATGTTAACACATGTGGACAGAATGGATTATTTTCAATTGAGTCACAGGTCCAAGATACTTTGAAATAGGCAGTGGAAGCTTGATCCTTATTTAAACTTGCTTACACCTAAAAAATTTAAAAGATTAAGGAAGGAAACAAGGGCTTTCTCGCTCAGATGCTTCTTCCTTGCAAAAGGCCAAGATCACTATGGAAAAAAAAGAAATTGTATTTCCTGTATTTCACAGTGTGAGTATAATGTTTATAAAATGCCAAACTGAAGCCATGCCATCCATCTAAGGACTACTTAAGATTTATTGTTCATCCTTCGGTTCCTTGCCTTATCTACTGCTGTCATCTGGAAAAGATTTAGAGAGGCAGTGAGTAAATGGGAATGTGGTCACTGTATAGGGAGCTCATAGTTGTACATAAAAACCAACAAGCTTATTCGAAGTAGCTCTAGTTAATGAAATCTGTCACCTAAAAATGGAAATAATTTTTCTTTCTCCATTCTGTAGAGTTTAATGTAAATCTGAAGGAAAGATTGTTGGGGTTTGGGGTTTTTTTTCCCCTAAATAAAGGGAAGAAGATGGAAGGAAACTATTTCCTTCCCCTGAGCAGGTTATACACTATGGAAATATTTTGTCCCAATAACATACAGAATCTGAGTTCATTATAATAAAAGCATTGCATGCCACTTTTCATTCTTCCTTTACACAGAGTTTAAGACTGGTCTGTGCTGGTAACTGCCCAGCCATCACCTTCAACCTGTAAGAAAGACTTCTGAAGGTATTTGCATTCTCCTAATTGCTGCATGGAAATGAATTCTGTCACTTCTGCTGCATTAATCAGAATATCAACTGCTACACCTTTATATTTCACTTGGAAGCACAAAGTATCAAGAAATCAAATCAACAATTTCATGTAAATCTTCACTCTCCTTCCTTTCCTATTTTATTTTGGGAATTAATCCTTAAAGATCATAAATGTATTTTTAAATTTTTTTTTTACTGTGACTGTTCCCAAGAAAGAGGAAACTCTGTCCCTCAGTTGAGTTAAGCAGTACTTAAGCCAAGAGAAAAACAATTCTGGTCTTGGTACTCATGCAGAATCATAGTATCTTCTCTCTATTTACAATCACTACAAAGGAAATTGAAGTAAGAGATTGAGCAAAGAAAGAAGTTGTGACTGACTAAAAAGAGTACAGAATATTGCAAGTAGGAATAGAAATACTTAATCTGAACTACAGAAAAGACTTCATCAAAGAGGAAGTGAAAAGATGGCATAACAGCAACTTTAAGATGTTTTCAAAAGTGCTTCAGCCACAGTATTGGACAATTAGTATTAATCATATTGAACTTTACAGGTTTAGGGTTTTTTTTTCCCCTTCACTCAGAAAAACTGATATGCATTTTATCTCTGAAGTTCGAAGCTAGCACAGACTAGCCCAAAGAATAATAGGCTTTTGTTTCTGTTCAGCTCTCCCCAACTTCCATCTAGCGGTAGTTTTTCATCTCTTTTAATGGAGAGCAAACCAGCTTGACATTGTGCTCTTGAAATCTTGCTGCAACTGCAGCAAAAACCCCTTAACTATCTGCAACAGCACCAGACTGTCACCTACAAATCAGCCAGAGTGCTATTGCTACCACCCAAAGATCTACCCCTAATGACTGGTAAAACCATTCTTATGGCACAGAAAGCTCTTAAGGAACCAAAGAGAATGGACATTAATGACGTTAATAATAACCCTAAAAAAAGACTTTAAATGCATCAAGGTTACCTCTAAATCTGTCTATCAATTAACATAATTAACACTTTTCTAGCTCATAGTCTGAGTAATGTCAGGATCAATGTATCAGTTCCACTTCCAAGAAAAGACATTTATCTTCTCTTTGATCCAACTTTAAATTATTCCTAACAAACTATTAGCTATATTTAAATTATCTTTAATGTCTTTTTTACATAGATTTACTGAAACAAGTTTAATAGTAAAATCTTGCTCATTGTGATATTATTTTTTCCTCAGAAAAAGTAAAAAATATTTTACTTAAATGACAACTAATGGCTGCCTTCAAAAGATGCCTCATTAATGAGGTGCCAATCATTTGCCAAGTGATTTATATTGACCTTAGTTAAATATGTCAAAATGTTATGGTTATTCCCTGGCAAAGTGGATTCATCATATGACATCAAGTGACTTTTATGAATCCTTGACTTTTGCCACATTAGATCAATGTCACAGCATGGCAGCTATCTCTGCTAGTAACCAAATTAATTAGTAATAAAATAATTTGTGTGCCTGAGGATCAAAAACTGTGTCATGTGCAAATAAATACTAAACAAATATTTTGTATCAAACATTTATGCAAAGATAAATAATTGTTACACTGTAAAATTGTCAGTTCCATTTACAGTACATCAACTACATTACAATGCATGAGAAACTAAAGGAAACAAAGAAGGTTTAAGTACAAACAATCTTAAAACTGATATACATTGTAGATATTTCTCCGTAAAAACCTCAAATGCTCTGTTCATTTCATTGCTCACAACTAGCTAACTTACATCTCTTAGCAAAATAAACACATACCCTTTATTTAGCATGGCATAGTTTTTTACTGAATTAATAATCAAACATTATATAAAAATGATCTGAACATTTGCCTCAAGGGGGAGCTTACAGTTCATTCTTGTAGATCCTTTGTATTTTCAAGCCATTCCAAGCCAATGTTCTTTGACGACATTATAATACAGTCTGACTGCAAAAATGTAATTTTTGCTTTGTTTTCAGTCAGTAAATCATTATACCTCCATGCTACTGTCCTTCCTAGGCGTCTTTGAAATCCATAGTGTGGACTGGTTTGGACTGGTTTTTGTTCTTCCTTTACTGAAAAATAAAAATATAAACTATTTTCAGTGCATGTGTGCCTCTGCAGTCCTGATTCAGGTTTGTGAACAGATCTGGGTATTTCATCCCCTATTTGAAGGCCATCTTTGTCGCTTTTATAGCAAAGGTTTCCCATCCATGAAATGGTTGTGCCCACGTTGCACTAAGGTGAGCAACTGCTACCGAAGTCACCAGACCACCCTGCTTAACAGCACTCCTCCCAGGAACTGAAGTGACGGCCCATTTTTTATTTTTTTTTTTTAAGTTCACGTTCATCCACACCTACTCATACAGAGCAGTCTTTTCAGAGATAGATGTGAACACTGTCTGATCAGAGTGGTGTGAGGCTGAGCGCTTCTCTTGTCTGAGGGGACATCTCAGAGATGGGAGTGCACATGTCCCCAAACCCATTCCAACATGCTCAGGGTGCAGCCCACCCGCCCCAGGGGGCTACTTCAACCTTGCCCACATGCATTCTGGAGCTGCACCCCCACAACCACAGTACACTGACAAGTGCCAGTATGTACTGGTATGCCAGAAAACCTCTTCCCTTCAGGGCTTGACCTAACTTCTAATGAAGTAATGGCACATGAATCAGACTTCTAGCAATGAATGACTGGTAGAAAGATTCCTTAAGTCTAGCTTTCATTCAAAATTGTCAATAGTAGTTTTGTGTTTGTTTGGACTGTTGGGTTTTTGTTTTATAAAAACAAAGATAACTGGTTCCAAAAGCATTTGCTCTACAACATTGCAAAAGTGTTCACTCTAATCTTTACAGACAGCCCTGAGGTACCCTGTAAAATGATGCCAGTCTTTCCACAGCAGCATCTCTGCTACAAATGCCACAACACACCACTTTCTCTCTCTATAGCTGGCAGATGACAGTGCACTGCAGTCTACTGAAAAGAAAAGGCACTTCATGAGTCACTGCAGCTGCATTTCAATCAAAATGTTTTAGTCTCTGGCCAGAATAGTTCAGACTGATGTTTTTTTCCAATTAAGTAAAAAACAGAGGGGAAGAAGTAGCCCTACATAATTCTGTAAGTTGGAAACCTGAGAGTCAAGATCCCAATAGTCCCATACATTCAGTTTCACTCCTTTCCTGGTGTGTAAGAGTGAGTCTGAGTTGATTTAAAATGTACTCTGAGGGAGCTGGATGGTACAGCAGTCTTTAGAACCTCCAGACTTACCTCTGAATTCCTACAAAGTAGTGCATTATGTACCTGAAACCATTGGAGTAATTGAAAAGACTCTCATTGGTTTCAGTGGACTTTAGATCAGGCCACAATGCTATAAACAAAGCAATTGCAATTAATCAAGTAGTTTCAGCACTTATTTCTTTAAGAAATGAATTCACTACTTCATTGCAGATTAATACAGCAAAATCAGGCATATTTTTTAAAGTAATGATGAAATGTTTTGAATGGAGAGTCCTTGCCATGCAGCAGGAACAATTTCTAAATACCTTGGAACAGAACTGTAGCTGTATAAAATGAACTTATGTTCAGTGACGCTGTGCTGACTTTCAACAGCTAAACATCTGGTTCAGGTTTTAGTAAGAAAGGTAACGAAGATGCAATAAATAGTTTGAGCATATCACTATTTCCATCAAATGCAATCATAGAAACTGAGAAATATACCAGGTTTGAATTTAAACTTTCTGCAAGGCATTCAGATGATAATGGAGATGGGTCTTTGAAGCAGTTTCTCCTTGCTTCCCTGGAAGAAATGAAAGGGAGAGCATCTAAGCATGAATGAGCTGATCATTTTTACTAGCTACAGGGAAGATGTTTTGCTTTGCCTTATTACTACCCTTTAAAGAGCCCAACGTCAGGCAAAATTAGTCATGACCTTTCAAGCTAGGCATGTCCTGGTTGCCCATGGATTGTGGCTTTCAGAGGAAAGGTCACCATGTTGTGGAAGCCTAAAAAAGAATCAGAAGTCAGGTTCATTCGGAAAGCTGGGGATCCCTCCTTCCCCAGCAGGACAGAATCCCTTTCCTGAAACTCTATAGTGTCCAGATGATCAATTCAAGTGGTTGACTGTTTTTTTTATTTGTTCTTTACCCAAGAACTACATATTTGTGATGACTCAAAATTATTTGCAAGGTAGATTACATGTGGAAATACAACTGAAAATAGAAAAGAAGCATTTTTCAAAAACAAAGTTCTGTTTCAACAGATAAAAAAGAAAATACTTCATTTTTGGTGATACCAGTATATCCTCTTTTGACTTAAACAAATTTTAAAGAAAATTTGTTTTATTTTCTGTAATTAAAACATTTGATGCTACTCAAAATGAACATTCTGAAAAAAAAAACCAAAACAAAAAACAACAAAAACCAAAACAAACAAAAAACAAAACCACAAACAAAACAAACAAACAAACACCACCAAACATCTGCTTTGGTTCAAATCTATTTTCTCCCTGATTTTGGTATCATTTAATCTACCAAGCTAATCAGCTAACAGAAAAAGTACAATCTTCCAAGCTGAATTTCCAGTATTTGTGTCATGCAATTTTTAAGTCTTGGAAGTTCAGATCAATTACTTCTGGATGAAGTGCTATAGCATCAAAGGCCTGATCAAAGCCCACTGAAGTAAAAACTACCATTTCTATTGATTTCAGTGGGCTATGAATCTATCATTGTTTTCCCAGGAGTATTCAAGAGCTGAACCCTTTCTGGGAAGAGAAAGAGCTGCCAGAAAAGGTATGAACACATATGACATACTTACCAAGAAATTCAGGTCCATTTTAATAAGGGTTTCAGAGTTAAATTACCTACATAATCGCTATTCTTAAACATGTAATTCCTTTATTACTCTTTTTGTTTTGTTTCCAACCTTCTACAGCCCCAGAGCTGAGGTCTGGATACAACCTTTCACAGCAATGAATTTGACTGCCATAAGACAGGTTGGAAAGTGCACATTTTCTTTATCTTTATAGGAAAGCACATAACAAAGACACAATCTAGTTTATGATGAGGACCTCATATCTTTATGTTCACTTGTTTCAATGAAACATCACTAAGGAGTGCTGCGAACATCACTGTACACTCAGCCATACAGATATAAGCAAACTTGACATTTGGATTGTTTTCTCACTTGAAATAAGGTATTGCAGCTATTTGCAGAAAATTCTAAATAGAAAACAAATTTAAAAAACCAAAACCCCACACACAAAGAAAAAGTAAAGACTAAACGTAAAGAGGAAATTTTTCGTAATTTCCTAAAACAGTGATGTTGTATTCCTTACTAGTATTCCTGCTCGTCAAGAGGGACAACAGCTTGAGAATCTGTTTACTACTCTTGATATTTTACCAAAATACTGCTTATTCATAAAACATATTTCAGTTTAAATTTTCTGGAATACATTAACTTGAGAGTGCTTCCTGAAAAAAAAAAAAAAACAAAAAAACAAAAAACCTGCAGAATGAAAAGTAGCCTTGAAATTTTCAGAAAGATTAGTTTAGGAAAAAAAAAAAATGTTGTCAAATCTTGGTATACATTATTTTGAGAAAAAGTCCAAAGATTTTAAAGTATGGATGAAAACATACCCTGTTTCACAGGCTGAAATGTTTCCTATTTGCATAATAATAAATCTGTTTGATACTACATCTATGTACACATATCCATATACTTTATGCACCGTCTTTGAGAGATACATGATGTACAAAGGAGTTGCACTGGCGTGTGGCTCAAAACATGCTTTTTGTTTTCAAATTGTCTGCTCAAGCGGCCCATCTGTTGCTTTTATGGGATATGCACTAAAACATCATTAAACAGCTGCTGGACCCTTAGGTTTATCCTTGGAAAAACCCTGCACTTTTGGTCAGAAACTGAGGTGAGTCATTGCATTCACCCTGTATCAGTGAGGGCCCTGCTCTTATTCCTCAAAGCCCAGATGCTGTATAGGTGGTAATCATGGAGGAAGAGGTGAAGTAAAAGTGCTGACAGTAGCTCAGCATATCAAACACTCAGCAAAGATATCTTCTTCAGAAACAGGTGAAGTCCTAAAGGCAATATACTTGGAGAGATCTGGAACTATTTCAGTGTATTGTGGAAAAGCCCAATGGTGAATGTTCAGCTGTAAACTACTTGGATTTCAACAGATGAAAAGATGTTTATTTGCATATTTGAGGACAGATGTAAGCAGTCCTTCAGTATGAATAGCTTGCCAATGGAAACATGAATTCTGCATTATAAGACCATTTTGGATTAGTGTATTTTACCTTTTATGAAGCATCTGGAAACAGCAAGTCCCAAAAGCCACCAGTATCAACAGCAGCAGTGGTATAGTGGGTATTACGACATAAATTAGATTTGGAATTATACCTACAAGACAAAAAGTTCTCAATAATATCTCTCATGTTGAAAAACTCTTAACCACATAAGTAAAAATCTGGAGTAAAATATCAGAAATATATTAAATTACACAAAAGAACATTTAAACATTTGTTCTACAAGAATAAGCTTCAAAAAGATGACTCAGCAGTATTGAGAATAAAATAGTACTCCTCTAGCAATATGCAAAACATATCTAAAGGACTTGAATTCTGATATTTTCTACATGCATCAATGCGTGATTTCCAATTTTATAATTGAAAATTCAAATATTTAAAGAGAGTGTATGTCACAACTTATATTTTTTTACAGTCTGTATAATTTGTCTCCTCAGTGGTCCTTACATGTTGGATTCTACTCATACAGGACCACAAGAGGAACAAACCCTACTCTTTTCTCCTCATTACCCTCAAAAGACAAACACACACTGTCCTTGACTAATGTAGAGAGAGCTAAAGGTCCACCCCTGCAGGTTTGTGGGCAAAAGGAATGGGAAATGGTACACATTGGCACTCTGTTATCTGCCTAGAATACAGGATGGGGTCTAAAATCTCCAGAAAAGATCTGACTGTTTTTCAGTAACTATATGCCCAAGTTTTGTAAAAGTATCCATTTAACGTACAAGTTGTGGAGACTTTCCTACTCATTGCCCTCTCCTGAAAATATTTTCACTAGCAAGGATAAATGTGAAAGTTCAGGTTGGGTTTGTTTATGAGTTTTAGATAGAGAATCTTCGCATGGTTTGTAAAAACAGTATTCTTGATTTCAATATACAGTTCATCAGTATATCCATTCTTCTGGAGTTACAAACTATGGGACCACCAGTTAGGAAAGTTTCTCAAATCCAGCCAACAAGTGTGGAAAGGGAGTGCCAGTTTTCCATAATCCCATGCTGTAGTCCTGTAAAATCCTCAGTTGCTCCTCAGAGATGTTAAATTCCTTGAATTAAGGCCATGCTACAACACTTCATGAACTGCAGGACTCCATTCAGGACATAAATTGCTAAATGAAGGAGCTGGGAGCATTTGAGCAAGCTCCTAGGCAGTAGGTATCCATTCTCAAAATATCAAGAGCCATCTCTGCTAGAAACCTCAGCAAAGTATTTTAATCCTCTTAGCATGTGGTATTCCTTAAAACACAGGGTACTTGGGGAGCTATGGCACAGTGCTTATTCTGCAGATAACTGAAAACTTCATATCCTACCTGTCAGGAAAGATTCATTCGTGCCTTTTTTTGTGAGCCCCATGTATCAGGTAAAAAAAGATATGCATATCATATGCACCATACATTTGTTACACGTGCTAGGAAAGAGGTGGGGAGGAGATGGAGAGAGGCAAGACATTGGTTACCACAGTCTAGAAGAAGACACTCCACAGCTGGGTCAATACCAGCAAAGATTTCAAGGACTGTTAAACAGTACATTTGGATCAAAGTTTGGGGAGTCATGGAAATAATTCGTTTCCGCAGTTATGAAGAGAACTGACCAAAACTTTTGATAAGTTATTCAAAAGTATACTTTTTCGAGGTACTTCCTGGGGAAATAGACTGCTTCCTCCCATTGACAATAATGGAAATTGTTAAAGATTTATTTAACTGAGTTCACTGTTAATATTTTTACCAGAACACTCAAATCATATGAACACATTACCCGTTTCAGTAGCAATAACATGATACTGATCTTCTGGTTTGCTTGTGTCATAAGGATTTCCTGCTGGCACTGCTGGAAAAATACCTGAAAAGGATATCAGGCATTTTAGAAAAACAGTGCGTAAAAAATATGGTTGTTATATTGTTACATAAATTAATAGTAATAGTATCTTAATTTATATTGGAAAAATGAACATTTTCAAGATTGATTAAACTGCTAGATACAAACATTTAAACAATTTTATTGCAAAATTAGGATTACATCTGGAACAAGAAATATGAGCAGTGCTATTCTGAACAATAGTCATATATTTGTAGCTATTGCTCTCTAAAGGATTAATTTTTCCTATATTGCAGTTCTAAACTATGGCTGTTAAACTTGAGTTATTTTGGAGGTTCTTGTAAGCTATCCTCATAACTATGTATTTACCATTGCCAGGCAATTTAATGTTGTGAAAATGTTGTTCTTACCGTAATCTGGCTCCGTTCTGTCTCCTAATTCTTTTTCTAAGACATTATCTGTTAAATCAATATTTGAAATCAGTTATTGAACAATGAAAATATGTGTGTAGTAAAACAGACATTTTCATTATTTTACATGCAGTATCAGAAAAATTGATACATTCTCAAAAAAACCCCACCACATTGGTTAATTCTTCAGCATTTAATCTTCTTACCAAAGACTATTTGCAAACTAGTGTTAAATCACTTCTAGTTTGTACTTTTTCACTCCTTAGAAAAGGGCTAGAGTTTATTCTATTTCTAGTTCCTGGTGGTCTTTGCTGGGTTACTGGTTAAATCAATGAATCCCTTAATTTCTTGTGTTGAATAGAATTCCTGACATATTCAAAGTTTTATTTGTGCAGACGATCCTAAAACAATATACAAGGAAATGTTCTTGATTAATTCTTAAATCTTATTCATATCTTCAAAATAATGCTTACAGAATGTTGGCTATGAAGCAAACCAAAGCAAAGCAACACAATTTTGTGAGGTTAGCAGTCATCTTCATATAGCTTGGTTTTGCAACAGGCAGCTCTAAAATACAAATCATGGTCAGTGGGTTTTAATAAGAAGCAGGTTCTAATAAGGTTTCGCATAAGAAAGTGAAATTATCAAAAGAGGAATGATAGTATCATATTTCTTGTAATGCATCAGAAACTAGAGAACCCCTTCATGACTTTGAGCTGTATGGCAGAGGTTTGCAAGTTTACTTATGGCTATTGTTACTGCTAAGAGTTTACAAAGATTACAGAAATAATTATCTCATATTGAAAGGATAGGCATAGGAGTGGAACCTGCATGACTGTTTGAATACCATGCCTTTATCATAAGACTAAATTAACATTACAGTTTTATCAGCCTGCAGTTCTTTCTGTTCTGATAAACAGAAAATACTGAGAGAAATCAAAGCAGCAATAAAGCCTACTAGAACAAAGGCAATTATTTCATCTGCTCTGGTAAAACTGGCTACATTTGGCCATATGTAAAGAAAGATATCAAAATACCACAAACAACTGAGTTGCTGGCTCTAAACAGCAGAAGAGGAGATGAGTTTTTAATTTGATTGCAAAAATCAAACCTACAAGAGCTGGACAAGGAACTAAATGTGTTTGCAATTACCAACCTATAATTAAATTTAAGATCACTGAATTATCAATATGATCTAAAGCTAGACCAAACATTGCAACAGTAAATGATGTCAAGGGATGTACTATTAAAAAATGGCAGTGACTATCAGAGATGTAGTTGCTGCTTGAGTAAGATTGACTAATAAGCACTGCCCTTAACTTACTGCTGATACAATCATATGCAACTTCATCATGGTCACCTACAACCTCTGTGTTTTGGTCTATGACTGGTGTCATACACTGTATACTCAAATCAGACAGGAAAGTTGTGAAAAACAGTATACTTTGATAATAAAGTGAAATTCAATATTCATATGGCACTTCCAATACTCTTGGTAAAATGGATATATTTTGCACTGCAAATGGTTGATGCTGAAGCTATTGCAGTGATCTGGTGCTGGGGGGGAGGTCATTTGTGAGTCTTAGTAGGTTTTAGACAGCAAATGTAATTTTCTTACAAACACTGTGGTACTTTCTTCAGGCAGTGAAAGAAATGTCATATACCTATTCATATACATTTATGCATCTACTCTTCTTCTCCATGTGATAGTAAAATACATTTTCAAAGAATAGCTTATTTTCCTAAAGAGCACAATTCTAACAACTTGAAAAGTAAATAGCTACAATTCAGCAATACTGTATTTAGCTGCATAACAATGTCAGTCCTAATAATAATCTACCCAGATATTGTTTGCCTTCTTATACGCTTCATTATACACTAGTAATCTATTTCTACATAGTGAAAAAACTATAAACTTGTTTTCGTTGTTACTGTTATCACTTTGTTTTCAGTTAGTCTGAAATACTCAGCATTTTTTCAGATGGTGAAAGCAATAAGAACAATTATCACAACTAGAATGGTAAGAAATTTACTATTACAGAATAATTCTTTCACTCAGATTTGTTGGGTTGTAAATACATGAGACACTTGAAACTGAGCCCTCGTAATCAAACCTACATTTTCTGACATAAAAATGTTATTTTAACAAATTAAAATTTTTATTGTATTGTCTTATTTCAAAATAATTGTGATCAGTTGTAAAAGTAATAAAATTGTATACGTCACAGTTCCTTGAATGGTCTGTGAGACCAAGATGATAACTGATCACCATCAGACAGTGATAGTCACTAATAATTTTAGAACCAGGAACAGATTTGGGGAATGGGGGTAAAAATTGCGGATATAAAATGTGTGGGTATATCAAGCCTTTCAAGTACTTAATATTTGCTTGCAACATTTATCGCCATTAATATCTCCATTAAGACATTGACAGTGAGATAGCTATCCATCTACTAAGACTGGGAGAAGAAAATAGCCTGGATGTGTACAGATAAATGCTTCTCTACAAAGAGAGTGATTATTACTAGATCATGAGCATAGAGAAAGCAGGTAGGAAACTGCAGAATTTGGCAGGTCAAACAGCTGCTAAGAGTAGGATTTCATATGCATTCTGACTTCTAGTTTAGTTTTGAAAAGCAGACACATCATAAATTATTTGAAAATATTTGCATGATCATGCTGAAAAACATGTTTTCATTTACTTTAAGTACCACCAAAGGCAGAAACTGTTACAGGCTCAACTTGAAAGTTTACTTTTCATGTCCCTTTTCTGTTTGCACAAAGTTCTAGTTTAGAGTTCATGTTTCCTCTACTGACATATACAGAATCTATGTCATGTCTCGAAGTTCAGCCAAATTATTTAAGATCTGGCTTTTTCTGTTACCATCTGAACTAGTGTGCACCTGCTTTCCATGTCTATAAATCTACACATATAAATGCAGAATTTTCTTCCTGCCATTGGACTGCTATTTTCTAATAGCATTGGACTGCTATTTTCTTTCTTTAAGTCAAAACTTTTAGAAACAACCATCACAGATAAGTTGGTAAAAGTGTAAGAGGTCTGAAAGTGCAAGGACGTTGTAATTATTTTACAGTAGGATCAAGAGATGTCTTGGTCATCCCACTTGATAGCAAGCAAGGGAAGTAGTAAATAACCACTTAATACACTTCGTAGAGAATAAAATAACTAGTGAATGAGTTAAACCAAATTAAACCTGGGAATGCATGATAATGAAGTTAACCTTGAAAACATTCCTATTGGGCACAGATAGGTTTAGTAGATTGGATATATTACATTCCCTGTTAATGTCAGCTCAGCCACTCATACATCAAAGACATTTGCAGATTCCTTCACAAAACAAGAGGCAACTGTTTTTCTAAGTGTTCCACCTGTAGAAAATAAATTTAGTTTCACCTACCTGGGCCATACTTGCAGATAAAATTGTGCTTCATGTTGCATCTGTCATCATTCCATTGATAAAGGTATGCCCCTCCCAGACCAGGGTTTGCAGTTGGCTGATGATACATCACAACACAGGCTTCACTTCCACAGGAAGGCTCATCCGTATACCAATTTCTAGTGGTACACAAAAACAAACTTTCAAATTTTGAAGTTAAGCTTTATCAAGTTGACAAGGAAAGCAGTTTACAACAATGAAAAATGTCCCCATCACAACTCTGTGAAAGGAGCTTAGGGCTCGGTTTCCACATCTTAAAAAAAAAAAATAATCTCATCAAAACACCTCTGCAGAAATAAGACTCTACTGCTTCTTATCTGACTCTTACCTGTCCCATTGTCCTGAGTCCTGTGTGCTGCTGCTACTCTGGCCTTTTTCTTAATCAAGAAGTTAAAGTCTTTTCAAAAGACAGGGTAGAAACAGAACAATTTACACTAAGTAACATGCATTAATTTACTCGGTGGCTGACTTTCTGAATTGTGGTGATCAGAGTCTTGCAGGATTTGGATGCCTGCTTTCAGACCACATCCTAAATCCTCTCTGTGAGGCAGGAAAATAGCCATACAGAGGTAAACTCATGAGATGGGAGCAAGCCACATTATGCTTCAAATTCAAAACCCTGGTTGCCCCTTTATCTGGACAAGTTAAGGAAGAATACTACTAAGTTCATAGGGCAGCAAGTCTTCAAGCTTTTTTCTAGAAGACTTGCCAGGCATTTCACTCTCCATTTCTTTCCATGAAACCTTCTCAATAAGCAGTTTTACAGACTTACCTGAATGGTGAAATACTTCCATCAGCCCACTGGTAGAGGTCCGGGCAAGCACTCGAGGTAGCTAGTCCATCACCACTTCTCCACAACCCAATCCAGAAATCACCATCAGAAATCCCAGAGCCTGACTTAGTGAGGTTTTGCAACATGTTTTCTATTAGTTGCTGCTCAGCTTCACTTTCCAGGCTTAGTAAAGCTCCACCATCAATTTCACAGGCTTGGCGGGCCTCCTGAAAGCCCACACGCCTAGACAAGTCCTGGAAATACGCTAACTTGTAACAAGAATGCTTGAGGTCACCATAGCACACCTTTTGACCTGAAAAATATAAATATGAGAGTGTTTAGAGTATAAAAATGAATATCACAACTGAAAAAAAGATATAGCACAGCATGCATACAGTGATGGAGGACAGTAGGTTTTTTCTTGTGCCTCTGTATGAAAGGGCTTACGGTGATACAGTGACACTGCAGAAAACCTTAGCTTTAATTCAAATTGCAAATATCAAAGTTCATGGGAATCTATGCCTTTCTCCCCAAGGCCTGTGAAACTCTCCAAGACACTGAAAACTCCCACTAACATCTAGAAGAATATTCTCTACTGTAATGACTGTACCATCAGGCTCCTCTGTTAAAGCCAGGATCTGTTTGGAGAGTATTTTCTTAACTATTTCATACTAATGGAACAAGTCCACTTCTATTTGGTACTCAAAATCCTTTGAACAGAAAAAAAATGTTTAAAATTCTCATTTTTAGTGGCAAGAAGCTAGCATTTTCTTGATTCTGCTATCTAACCTTGAGAGGGTGTATTCACAAGGATCTCACAGCTACTCTTTGCTATAATGTGCCTAAATACAACCTGTATTGTTGTATTGACAGATACACCATTAAGGTTATCTGTCAATGGCTTTTTCAGTGCAAAAAGGGATAATAATAAAAGGAGGGAGCCATAGACAAAATATAGAGTTATAAATCTGACAGGAAATCTTAATGGAGAAAAAGACAAGATAAAAAAAACCTCATCAGACACTGTAATTTGTGGGCTATCAAGAGATTTCTTCATAAAAGAAAGCAAGCAGGACTTTGTAACTTCATGAGGATGCACATGTAGCAACCCACAATGCTGGGGGAGTTGGTGAGACTATGTAATCTGATGAGGGACCATGCAGGGTTAGAGAATGGGGAGGAACAAAGGGAAAATGGACAGAAAAGGATATTAAGATGGGCTGGTCATGTGTAAAACAGGGGGAATGTGTGTGAGTCTGGACGTGTGCCTTTCCTAGTGATCTACTATATCTACCAGCTGACAAGGAGGAGGGAACTTGGCTGTCTATGTTTTTAAATGGGTCCTGTGCATGGGTGCTGTTGAAGGCAGTCTGTGTCAATCTGTGTGATGGCCATGTCATTGTCCTGCCTGTGTGGCACTGGGATACCTGCTCAGCTTTGCTACTGGTTGAACCAGCAAAGGGGAAAGCAGCAGCCATAACCCTCAGCTCAGAGAGAGGACCTGAGTATCAGAGTGGGCACCAGGAGCACATTTTCAAATATCATAAACATGATCACCACCTTTTGTTTTCCCCAAGAGCTCTGTCTCATTGACAGGATAAAGTGCGCAATGAAGGAAGAGCTGTTCACCATTTTAACCTTTACTACTGAGTAAGTGACTATGGCTTATTTCCAGAGTACACATACATACATAGCAGTGCAAACATCCAAAGGCTAGCAGTGAATTATGTAGAACACTAATAATTTACAAGGAAAAGGAACTGCATCTGTCCTTGTAACTAAAGATTGGATTCAAAGCATTAATTCAAGATGTATATTCAGATTTATGGAGAGTCCTTTGTCCATTGTCTTGTTCTTTTTATTTCCCAGGCAATTTAGAAAAAACATTTTTACAATTCCTTTCACTCTGTGCACATAATCCTCCTTGACCCCAAGTAGTAAGTTATGAACAAATTCAGGTATCAAAATATCCCTGTCATGATTTCAGTCATGCAGGAATGTTCAGTTCACTGAGATGCGTGGGCTGGCCACTACCGATCTCAGTATCCGTACTGCACCTCCCTCTTGTGGGTCAGAAGCTAGCTTTCTACCTATAACACAGCATCTTCCCTGTGTGTTTCACAGGGTGACTGAAGTGCCCCCCTTGCTCTCTGTTCACATGCACAGTCTCCATTCTTCTGTGATCATCCCAAAACCTCAATCGAATGTCCTCCAACAGGACAAATGGGTCTTTGCTGGCTAACAGACCAAGCTTCTTCAGTGTAGTCGGCTCCTGCAGAGAGAGTCATGCTGCCAAATAGCATGTGCTGTCTGCACTGCTGTGAGGCTTGTGTTCATAAGCCGTAAGTTGTGCTCTATACTGGTCCAATATGGAGCTTGCATCAGTTTCAAGGCTTAGCTCCATCATCCACACCAAACTGAGGAAACAAGGTGGAACTGTATGGAGCTGGGAGGGGAAGGACAGGCACTTGTGATGCACAACAGCAGCATAGCTGATTGACAGGTGCCACTGCAGCCCCTACTACATGCCAATTTTGTGGAGTTCAATAAGAGTTTGCCACTGCTGTGCACTTGGAGCAGGAAGCCTCCTTGGAGTTATCCAGAATACAGATATGAAGGGCTAACCTGTTTGTACCCAAAGGTTTATCTGAAAAAGTTAGTGAGTTAAAAATCTTGAAACCTTGTGTGAAGACATTTTTTCCCCCCTAAACTGATCTGAATAATTTTTGAGGATACTATTGTTATTGAAGATGTTTGTGCAGGTTTAAATAACTCTTAAAATCAAGTATTATAAAGTGAAAGAATTGAACAAGTGAAAATCTGCATACAATCCACCTCCTAAATTATTTCTCTTAAATTTATCGCTCTTTACACCTGAGTCAAAAGAAATAATTCCCTCCTCACATGCTGATTATTTGTGCAAGAATATACCTCTAGAAGACAACAGAGAAAGCAGCAAGAAACCAAGAAATATTTAGCATTAAGACCCATTCAGTGTGAATGAAATACGTGATGCAGAGTAGTAAGCTTTCTGGAAGAAGCTGTGAATTTTTTTTGTTCTACTTAATTTAATCCCTTTTTATAGGCAATGACCTGCTCTGAATCTTTTCTTTCTTCTTTTGAAGCATACTTTTATCTGCTGGAGCAGAGCTAGTTCAATGTGTTAATGGAAAACTGCAGTTATGCCTTAATAGCTGGCAAATCAGTCGATGTTTTAGTGCTCTTCTTGGAGCACGCCAAGATGTCAAGTTTTCAAGCTTCATTTTTTTTACAGCTTTCTCTCACTACTAATTTCTGAACTACAAAGCAGAAATAATTTACCAGTGAAAAATGACAGAATGGACCACATTGTATAGCAGACAAAATAAGTATGGAAACATTAACTATGGGCTGTTTTACCTTCTTCTAACATTTTTGCAGCACACAAGGCTCCACTGTTATTTCTAAAGCAACGTTTGCTATTTCAACTATATAAATTGAATTCCAATTTTTATGTCACAATTAAATAGAAACTAGATTTGGAAGCAAGTCTGTTGGAATGAATCAGGCTTAGATACTACACAATGTGAATAGATGTAGGCAAGCTAGGCCTTTAAAACCTTTCAGCAAAATCTGCCCTGTGCTGCTTGAGAGATGAAGGAAAACATTGTTTCATCACAGAGTATCCAGAAAGGAAAAAAGAAAAGGATGTTCTCGTATTTAGACTTCCCTTCATCATGAGATCAAAGATCTAACTAATTAATTTAACAACATCTAAGAATTTGTTCTTACCCTTTTCCCTCTACAAATGCTTTAAAAAGTTCAAGTTTCAACCAACCCTATCTGATTATTTGCAGATGTGGAATGTTTATACACTTTTTTTCATGGACTGTATCAGCTCCTTAATCCTTGCCCCACTTTCTGTCACCTGAGCAGAACAGCCCAGACCCTGGTCAGAAGTAGGCATGGAAATAGGCAAAACACGTACTTGGCTCAATGTCATGAACCCACATCTTTTTTTGTCATCAACAATCGCTTTCTTGCCTGTTGAGGGAAGAGTGCTGTGTTGAAGCAACTAACTGACAGGCAAAGACTTTTCTCTTTCTTCCCAGCTGCAAAAATGTAAGACTAGGTCTCCCTGGTTTCCTTAATGGAAATGTCTCCACATTTGTTTTTTCTACATTTCCTGCATACACCAGCCACACAACATAGCTCTGGCGCAGCTCCCTCAGCCTTAGCAGCTCTAGTTGCCTACTGCAGAGAATCCGAACTGGCTGAAATTGCCTTGCACACACTTCATCTCACCAGTCTGTGAGCAAGCATACAGTACTTGCTCTAAGAAGTGCTAGCTACCATTTCCATCTATATGGATCAGTTTTCATTCCTTGAGTGTCACACAGCAGGTTCATAGTAGAATGTTTTGACATCAGCATTAAAACAAAGGTAGATTTTAGCTGAAATACTTGATACTTAGTTAAAACTTTTCTGCAGGAAAATAAAAATCTCCTTCAAGAAAAGGAAGGCCAAACAAATTCTCAGCTGGTATTTCAATCAATTATGTCTCTGCTATGTCTTAATAATAATGTATCATGAAACAAATAATAGGTTCCTTTAAGTGTCATGCCAGAAGTTATAGCATAATGTCATTTAGAAGCAAAATTACAGATAAAGTACCCAGCTCAAAGACTCATCTTCAGGCTCAGTCCTAACTACACACTCATGGGCAATGAGGGGCACAAAGATTCTCTTGAGTAACAAACAAGACTCAGCCAGAGGTTTTGAAGATGTCAGGTAGACGATAAGCTCCCAGTTGGTAAAGGCCATTCCTCTTCTTCTTGAGCCTTATAAACTAAGCTACAGTCCAGGATCTGCTACCATTCGCATCCACTTAAATTAGTGGGGAACAGCAGCTGCATATGCATAGCATATGTGAGATGGGAACAAAGGAATGCACAAAGCCTGATGTTTTGTATGTTTTCATACTGTGACTTTTTTTTCACAAGGTAATGGATTCAGCAGAGAACACAGAGGAGTATTTGGTACACAGGAATGTGAAATATTTAACACTAACCAGAGTCCACAAGGTTAACATGAGCCTGATGGAGGCCTCTGAAAATAAATTAACAAAATAAAGACAGAAATACTTAAATGAAAGTGATCATGAAATAACAGCAAAACAGAAATTTATGTAAGTTAATCAAAATATTCCACTGGCTAGATAATATTTTTCTGCTTGCATTATGATCTCTAGTCTTGGTCTTGAGCTTGTGTGAGCACATTGACCTCAGAGGCTCTGTAATCAGCATGCAGGACACTGGGCACAATTTGTTTTCA